AAAACTCTCTCCCTTTCACCGTGTTCCCCTCCTTTCCCCCTACAAAATCTGAGCCCACAATATCATTGGAAGATAAAATACAGTATACAGTAGACCTGCAACTTGCATGCCTTTAACTTGTGTTCATTCAGCTTTATTCAGCTGGTAACATTTTTTTAAAAAAATTGAGAGCAGAAAGTGGTCAGGCGTCCGTGGGATAACTTTAGCAATCCCACTCACGCTTGTACCCAATGTGTTTTAACTATACAGTCGTACCTTGGAAGCCAAACAGAATCCATTCCGGAAGTCCGTTCGACTTCCAAAACGTTCGATAACCAAGGCGCGGCTTCCAATTAGCTGCAGGAGGTTCCTGCAGCCAATCGGAAGTCGTGCTGGACGTTCGGCTTCCAAAACTCATTTGAAAACCGGAGCACTCACTTCTGGTTTTCAATCATTCGGGAGCCGAAATGTTTGGCAACAAAGCCGTTCAAGATCCAAGGTATGACTGTACGTGATTTGGGCTTTAGGTGCTATCCTCTGAACATAACCCAGTGTAAACTGTGGGTATGCTGTACAGTAATCTATGTGAAGCTATAATAATAATAATAATAATAATAATTTATCTATGAGTTGGACCTCTTTTTCTTTTCAGCCATATGATGCTAAAAGTCAGAGTGACAGCTTCACAGAGGTAACTCGCAAATATTCAGTGTCTTCACTGATCTAAGCTAAGAAGATGGTGGACCTGGCACAATGGAAACCAAGTGCCTGTTCATTCATCTCACTCTTAAAGAAGAATCAAGAAAAGGGTAAATTTGGAGACCAGGCAAGAACACAGTTTAAAGGAAGACTCAAGGAGCAGCAGTATGTGACAAAGGGTGGTGTCTAACAGTTCTGCTACTGCTAGGACTTCTAGCTGTGCAATGAAACTTCCCTGCCCTCTACTTTTCCTGCAGACCCCCTAAATCTTTTCTGGGCGGTTGGGGGAAGCCCCAGAGCAGTTTTAGGGATCATGTGCGGAAAGAAGAAGGCAGAGGAATTCTACTGTGCCGTTAAAAGTGCTTGCGCTAATAGAACTATTTTGTTGTAGTCTTTATAAAAGAATACTGATTTAATGTGCTTCGATTCAGTTAAGATACAGTATACCACTGACTTGACTCCAAAGAACTGCACATGGAATTCTGTGCATGCAGCAGAGCTTTGGGGCTCCCTTCCTGCCACAACCCCACACACCCCTCCATAGTATTGGGGGTGGGCTTCAGCCAGAGAGGAACTCAGCAGAAACTAGCATCCCTCGTCCCCCTGAATATCAGCAAGCAGAAGTGATATCTGTTCACAACAAGGGGCACTTGGAATACAAATTAAAATGCAGTAATTGCTAATCCTTATGAAAGGCATAGGGGACGCGGGTGGCGCTGTGAGTTAAACCACAGAGCCTAAACCACAGAGCCTAGGACTTGCCGATCAGAAGGTCGGCGGTTTGAATCCCTGCAACGGGGTGAGCTCCCGTTGCTCAGTCCCTGCTCCTGCCAACCTCGCAGTTCGAAAGCACGTCAAAAGTGCAAGTAGATAAATAGGTACCGCTCCAGCAGGAAGGTAAACGGCGTTTCTGTGCACTGCTCTGGTTCGCCAGAAGCAGCTTGGTCATGCTGGCCACATGACCCGGAAGCTGTACGCCGGCTCCCTCGGCCAATAAAGCGAGATGAGCACCACAACCCCAGAGTCAGCCACGACTGGACCTAATGGTCAGGGGTCCCTTTACCTTTATGAAAGGCATAACTTTGGGTCACCTTAAAAAACCAGTAGAATCAAGTAGTACAGCTTTTCCTGGACTGTATTGCTTCAGATTACACTGCACACACATATCTGTACTTGTGTGTGTGAATAAGGGAGTTCGAATTGCACACACAAATAGTTTTGCCAAACCGGCTGTGGCCATCATTGCCTAACTTAAAGACAGACTGATTTTGAATGAACTATACAGGAAGTTACAACACTATGCAGCTCACTCCATCTTTTCCTGATGGGCAACTTCTGTCGAGCATGCATGGAAATATTCCTGGTGCAGACTTTTGAAGATGGTAGCCTAAAGCCATAATCCAGGGAGGTTCAGCTACGGGCTTGAGCTTGCTCGGCAGGGCTTCAACTATTTTGGTCTTTGAGCAGCAGCTTCCCTATGCATCACAAACTGTTGTCGAATTCTCTGCAGATATAATGCAAATGTTTTGGAATCTGAAAAAGGTATTTACCATATAGAATCGGGGGCTTCTGTTCTTTAAACAAACAAACAAAAAACCCAGAGAAGTGGAAAAACTTTGGTGCTTGTTATTCCTGTGGCTTCCTGGATTGTGGCCTAAATCTTGAAATGCTTTTGAAATCAATGAGCTTAACAACCCACTGAGAAAAAGTCTCTAAAGTGTTTTATTTAGAAGCCACACACAATAGAGATTTGAAAGGCCAAAAAAGTGCCCACAGCATTGGCATTTGCCAAGAATCAAAGCCTGCAGACACTGGGTTGCTACAAACAGCAATAACTAGAAAACGAATACAGTTTTTTACTGGTTTTGATGAGGACAGAAATATTTTATGTGTCCTGTAACTCTCCTCTACTTCCCCATTACAAATAAAAGTTAAAGTTCCACATATGACTATAACCAGTATTATAGATTATATGTTGTTGTCTTTGCATAAAATTAGATCTGATAGTTATTTATGTAAGGTCTAGGGACGCGGGTGGCGCTGTGGGTTAAACCACAGAGCCTAGGACTTGCCGATCAGAAGGTTGGCGGTTCGAATCCCCGCGACGGGGTGAGCTCCCATTGCTCGGTCCCAGATCCTGCCAACCTAGCAGTTCGAAAGCACGTCAAAGTGCCAGTAGATAAATAGGTACCGCTCTGGCGGAAAGGTAAATGGCGTTTCCGTGTGCTGCTCTGGTTCGCCAGAAGCGGCTTGGTCATGCTGGCCACATGACCCGGAAGCCATACGCTGGCTCCCTCGGCCAATAAAGCGAGATGAGCGCCGCAACCCCAGAGTCAGTCATGACTGGACCTAACGGTCAGGGGTCCCTTTACCTTACTATGTAAGGTCTACATTTTTAAAATGCATCAATACAAAAGGTAGCCATTCCCACCAGATCAGGACACATATCCTAGATACCAGGTCTGAAGAAGATATGAACAACTTGAGAGGGAGGAAGGGAGGGAGGAATGAATATAGAAATCTGCCTTACACCAAATCAGACCATTGATCCATCTGGCTCAGTACTGGCAGCACTTGATTGGCAGCAGCACTCCAGGGTTTAAGGCAGGGTTCTTTTCCAGCCCTACCTGGGATTGAACTTGCGACCTTCTGCATGCAAGGCAGATGCTCTACCATTGAGCTGTGGCCCTTCCCCAAGGGAACACGTGAACCCCAGTTAAATTGCCAGGAAAATCAATAGCATGCAGGTATGTGGAAATGCTTTTAACTCAATAGCAACATGTTGGATGCAGGATGACAACTAGTTGGGAAGCCATCTTTCAGAAGAGGACCAATACTCAAGGAACTGAAGCTATTGGCCTGGTTTGCATGCCACATTAAACCATAATTAAAATAAACTAGAGTTCCGTGTGAACACAGGCCTTTTGCTCCTCCCACCCGACTTCTACACAGTCTGGTTTACTGTGACATGTGAACCCAGGGCTTGTGGTTTGTTCCTCTCCAAACAAACCATGAGCTGTGCACGAGTGTGAACTTGCATGCTTTGTGTTCCCACTAAGCTCCAGTTCATTCTAACCATGGTTCAACGTTATGAGTGAGCCAGGTCATTGTCCAGCATCCTGCCTTTGTGATACTTATCTTTTTGCCATACGAACTTCAAATTCATCAATTATAAAAACAACAACACTAGCACAAGATATATTTGTAATGCTGAGGATGTATTTAAAGTAAGCTACTACTCTGCTGCCCTTTGCTCCCAGTTACCTGCCCACTGGATGAAGTTGCACGGATTATCTAGCTGAAATCATGGGGAGGTAGCAATCTAACCAAGGTGTCTCATCCAACCTGTTTGTGAGAACAAGATTAAAGGCTTCACCCTGAATTGAGTAAGTTTGCAATCTCAGTTTTGTTATTCATCTACCTGATTCCACTTACGAATCGGTACGCATAAAACATATCAACGTGATTACACTAAAATGTCACTCATTCATAATATTTTTACTCAGTGGCGTAGCGTGGGTTGTCAGCACCCGGGGCAAGGCAAGTAATTTGCGCCCCCTAACCCGTGGATTTTAGCACTCGAGTCTCTTCCGCGCCCCCCCCAGATGTTGCGCCCGCTGCGGCCGGCCCCCCCTGCACCCCCACGCTATGCCACTGTTTTTACTGCTTACACACCAGATCTTATACACACCTGTTCTTTTCTTGTGCAAACATTGAAGTTGATTTGCACCCAAATTCAGATACATAACAGGAATTTTAAAGCAAATGACAGTAATTTTAACCCACAGGCCTGTGCAGGTGTTTGGTTTTTTTAAAACCCATTTGGTCAAACACAACCCCACCCATCAGCCACGGATGGTGATCTGTCAGGCACTTTTGCTGCTGCTCCATTCCATGGCAAGAATGTAGGGAATAGGATTAATCGTTGGGTTTTGTACCCACTGTTGTACCTGCAGGTTGTACTCACTGTAGACCCAGAGTAGAAAACCATCAGTACCACATACTACAGCTATTGGTTCAGAGCACCTTTAAATACTTGGTTATGGCACGAACTCTACAATTCTACTATGACATTTCAACGAAAGAGTAAAAATGCTACAGACTTTTGTGGAATGGATGGAAGACTGAAGTGATAATATTGGTTCTATGGGTGTAGCCGACTAAGTCGTACTCAGACTATGACTAACTTAAGTCTGTTAAGTAAGGCGGGTCTACTCTGAGTATGACTTACTTGGATACCACCCAATGTCCCTGGGAGGCTAAGGGAAGAAGAGAGAATTCAGCATAAGAACATATCCAATGCTTAAGTTATCAGAACTCACCTTAGGCACCCAGTGGCATTGCGCAGCACCTGTGATGAATGAAGCTGTATTTTGTGGTCATCCTGGAGTGGGGAGTTTTCCCATCCTGAATGAGGAATGATCACTGCATTGGTCAACACTGCAAGGGCATCCTGGATAATTGGCATTTTTAGTGCATCACAAGATGACAGATTCCAGAGAACTCCTAAAAGCAATTATCAATCAAATAAACAATTGTTGGCATTACTTAACAGAAAGAAATGCTACCACACACAAGTAAATCAACACAATCATCCTACGACCATAAAAGGAACCAGATGTTTCCAGAAAGCCCACAAGCAGGCCCACCCCTGCTGTTTGTTCCCCACCCACCAGGAACAGTGGAGGTTCCATTAATGTACTGTGGCTATAAAAAAAAACCCCAGAATCATCATTAGAATGTAGCTTGTTGTATTCAATGACCTATTCTTCTGCCACAGAAACTGAGGGGAGTGCAGCCAGCGGTCTCCCATTCAGGCAAGGGTACTGCGCTGTATACTGTTTGAGGAGGCTCAACTAATGGAAAATGTGCAGGTGCTACAATAACTCGAACAAGCAGAGGACACAGAGCTTCCTTGACGGCACAGGCTAGTGCAGATATTTTTTTTGCAGGGATGGCCTCTGCTATGGGAAGGTCCAGAACAGGCCACATCAGACCCAAATCCTGCTTACACTGCTTTTGCTGTTCCCTTTGCCAACTACTTTTGTGGCCAAATTAATTAATTTTAATTCAATTCATTCTTTTGCTGCCTTTACACCCAGGGAGTGTTCAAGGTGCCTTAGAACTATAAATTCTGCGATCTCACGTTATCACATGCAAAACAGGGAATAACAATAACGATAAAAGAACACTTAAAGAATATATTTCACACTTAGAAGAATTGGGCAAGGCTGTGAAATGTATTTTGCTACAGGTTATTGTCAAACAGTTGTATTTAGGATCACCAGCTGAGGGAGACTTAAGCAAGAAAGACTCCCTCTGGAGTAATTCTGCTGATGTCATCTTTTCACAGAAATGATGGAGGTCGCCCTTTCTCAAATAATTAAGATCACACACAACCTTAGGCAGGGGGAAAAACCATGCACACCCTCAGAAACAGAATTCCAAATTTAAAATGTCAGTTCCAGCTCTCTGTATCTGTTTATCTTTGGAAGAGAGTTCGGGCGAATTTACTATTCAGTTGCCAATGCCAAATACATACACATGATAAGTAAGGAGCGCATACGAATATGTTCCTCAAATTCAACTACAAAATTGTGTGCTATAATAATGCTGAAAGTTTGCTTTTAAAAAAGCCACAAGGAAGCAAGCAAGCAACAAGCAAACAAACAAACCAAACATACATGTTTATCTCAGGGTTTCAGCATGGAAATTTGTTTACAGGGAGGTGTTTTGCATTCTTAAATATACAAAGGCGAACTTTAAAAATTTACAATTTGTCTAGATAAATTCTAATAGAAGCTTGGTCATGAATACGGACTTAACAGAAGTCCTGTATCTTTAAATACAGTTTACTTGAATCCAGCTTTTCTATAGGTGACAACAGATTCGCCTTCCATGCAGAAATATACAGAGATGCCTTATACGAAGTCAGATCAATGGTCTATCCAGGCCTGTATTGTCTATTCGGATTGGTGGGGGTTCTTAAGGGTTTCTGACACAGTATTCTTTCCCAGCTTTTAACCTGGAGATGATTTTGAATGCAGAACATGTGCTCAGCACATGTGTGTACGGAGAGCTAAAATACAAAGATCCTTTTCTTCATGCAGAACGTGTCCCTGAAACCAGGTCCTGCATTCACCAAGGGCAGCTTAAGCCCCCATTCCCAGCCATGCTCTTCCGACTTATTTTTTCCTCATATAAGTGAATACTATCTAGGGAGGAAAATAACATGCTGCACTTAAACGCAGCACTATGTGGTAGTGGCGAGCCTTTCCGCCACTCCTGATGCAAGGTGGCCCATTCTCCCCCAACAAGACAATGTTCTTTTTCTCTCGTATATACACTTCTCAGGTGGGTCTGCTGCAATAAATAGGCTCTCCTTCCAAAATACCTTGCTCACCATAATGATAGTAATTTTGCCACTTAAATAATGTCTATGAAAGCAGTAACAGAGCATATTGTGGTACCTCCACCCTAAGGATTTGTGTGAGCTCATCTGCCCGATTTGCCGCTGCAGCCTCCCGTGCCGTAGTCAGATCATGTTTTCTGATCCACCGACGGCATCGTAGTTGCTTACACGCTGCCGGTGCTTACGAACAAGCAATGAAACATGTAATGGAGCTACCAGAATTTAAAACAATTCCTCTTACACACTGTGTTCATTCCGTATGAAAGCCTTTAGGCCTTAAAAGTTTGAGGCTACTATAAATAGCTGTGCCACCGTTGATGTCGCAGTAAAAATTACACATCTGTGTTTATGCACTTCAGTAACTAAGCTAATGTCAAGGGCACTTTTGCAGAAACTTATTAAGTTGATTAAGTGATTAAAAATCCGGCATAGGAGATACCCTCCATTCAACCATAATTCTGTTTAAGCATATCTGAATAACCATCCTACACTAAATGTCAAAATACTTTACGAAAAGGCACTTGGCAAATGGGACTGATGAAAACATTACATCATCTTAACTGCACAAATACCCTCCTTGAGGAATATGCTGCCTTTTATATTCCCCCACCCCCACCCCGGTGACCTTTCTTTTCATTCTGAGAGTTTTAACTGAATGAACAATCGGTTTGGATAAAGAAATGCAGCTGTAGCAGTGTGCAGAAATTTCAGCCACATTTGCAATTACTACAAATGAACTCAGAACTAGGAATTTGGCAAATTCAGTCTCCCTGCCCCCCAGTTATGAACTGGGCCCAAGTCTCTTTGAACTCAGGCCTTAGTCCTAATGTGGTCTTGCTCTTATTGCTCCCTGCCAGTTTCCCCACCCCTTGAGGAGATTTGAAGGAGATGGCTCACTGATGGGGCCAAGAGAGCCTTTGAAGGTCTCTGCTCCACCGTAAATGGAGAAATGCTTTATCATTCCTACTGGGTCTCATGGGATTTGTATTTTCCTATGGCTCCCAATTCAATGGAATTTGATTGGAAGGATGTGAAAGAAATGGGCATGGGGGGGGCAATACTTTCACATTTGGTTTCCCCCTGACATCTCAGAAGATGCATAGGTAGTACTGAATTTTTCACTGAGAAAGCAGAGAAATGAAGAGGGAAAACTTTCCAAGGCGACATTTTCTTCTACCATGCTCATTTACAATATATCACAGTTAAAAGCAGTGGCAGTTTCCTTGTTATGTGACAAGAAGTACTACTAGCTGTGTCTCGTATTTAAATTTAGAACATAGTAGTAGCTCATGAGAGAAAGATGATGCCCATTCCCTTTCCTCTATAGCAGGCATGGCCAAACTTGGCCCTCCAGCTGTTTTGGGGACTACAACTCCCATGAACCCTAGCTAACAGGACCAGTGGCCAGGGATGATGGGAATTGCAGTCCCAAAACAGCTGGAGGGCCAAGTTTGGCCATGCCTGCTCTATAGTATGCTTCTCAAAAAAGTAAAGGAGTTGGCAAACTGCAGATCACTGGTTGTTTCTCTAGACTCACCAAAATATCTATCATCTATCTATCTATCATCTATCTATCTATCTATCTATCTATCATCTATCTATCATCTATCTATCTATGTATCTATCTATGTATCTATCTATCTATCTATCTATCTATCATCTATCTATCTATCTATATCTATCTATCATCTATCTATCTATCATCTATCTATCTATCTATCTATCTATCTATCTATCTATCTATCATCTATATCATCTATCTATCTATCTATCTATCTATCATCATCTATCTATCATCTATCTATCTATATCTATCTATCTATCTATCTATCTATCTATCTATCATCTATATCTATCTATCTATATCTATCTATCTATCTATCTATCTATCATCTATCTATCTCTATCTATCTATATCTATCATCTATCTATCATCTATCTATCTATCTATCTCTATCTATATCATCTATCTATCTATCATCTATCTATCTATCTATCATCTATCTATCTATCTATCTATCATCTATCTATCTATCATCTATCTATCTATCATCTATCTATCATCTATCTATCTATCATCTAATCTATCTATCTATCTATCATCTATCTATCTACAGTGGTACCTCGCAAGACGAATGCCTCGCAAGACAAAAAACTCGCTAGATGAAAGGGTTTTTTGTTTTTTGAGCTGCTTCGCAAGACGATTTTCCCTATGGGCTTGCTTCGCAAGACGGAAACGTCTTGCAGGTTTGTTTCCTTTTTCTTAACACCGTTAATACAGTTGCGACTTGACTTCGAGGAGCAACTCATAGAACGCGGTGTGGTAGCCTTTTTTGAGGTTTTTGAAGACTTTGGTGATTTTTGAAGCTTTTCCAAAACTTTCCCGACACCGTGCTTCGCAAGACGAAAAGAATCGCAAGACGACAAAACTCGCGGAACGAATTAATTTCGTCTTGCGAGGCATCTATCTATCTATCTATCTATCTATCTATCATCTATCTATCTATCTATCTCTATCATCTATCTATCTATCTATCATCTATCATCTATCTATCTATCTATCATCTATCTATCTATCTATCTATCTATCTATATCTCTGTCTATCTATCTATTGCACACACAGAACTAGACAATAATGTTGAATATTCCTAGCCTAGCCTTCTACCTAATTGTGCACTAGTCAGCTACATCTTGTGATTTTTGCTAGTCATTTATGCATAGGAATGCAAATACAACATGCTATGTCAGCATGCAAAATCCTATGCTATTTAAGATGCTGTGCATTTTATTCCCGTTTGTGGCAAGGGAAGTGTTGAAGCTGAAGAAAATGTGGAATGAGAAACAGCAAGAAAAACCACTTGATTCACAAACTGAAGTCACTCTAGATTTCTCAGAGCTTGTTCTCTCCTCTCCCCCCCATGCCCCCACAGGCAATGCTTAGCAATCAGCATGCCTTGTTTGAAGAGGATAGATGCTGTCATTTCCCCTTTCTTAAAAAAACAAAGTTTCAACCATCTTGTAAACAATGACTTCTTAATTTTAAATTTCAGATGCAGAAAGCGTTGTACCCCTAAATCATGTTCCTCAACAATAGTAGGAGCTCTACCTCGACAGCACAACCATTATATGGTGACCTCCCTTCTTTCCCTGTTTGGGTTTTATTCTCCACAAAGGAGTTTTAAAGCTTGCTCTGAGCACTTTTCCCCCTAGTGGGTTCCGATATGTTACAGAGTGAAACTGCCTGCAAGATAGCGTGGGCAGAACAGACTCTTTCAGATTGGATGCTGGACACAGGACTGTGATTTGCTGGTAGGAAAAAGCAACAACATTGATTAATCCCAGTGAGATTCTGTGTGCCTCCTGTGAGCCAGGCAGCTCTGCAGAATGTCTGCAACAGGAGCAACTGAAGATTCGGTCACAGACAATGCAGCAATATGCTAGAATTGCTTTTCCCCAGAGGAGGTTACCCGCTTAACGTCTGCGAGAGTCACTGCTCTGTGTGGGTTTTCTTCCAATCTTCTTGGGTGTTAAAACAAAATTTTAAGTCACATTTTACTCTAACAAAATAACACATTTTAAAATTATTATTATTATTATTATTATTATTATTATTATTATTATTATGAGAAATGCTAACAAATTACACACAAAACTGCTGCCCTCCCTCACCCCCTATATCCGATTTACAGCTCCCTGTCGAAGCTGCATTTGGAAAACTCTGCAAGGCAAAGAGCAACCTGGAAGGGAATAGTTTGGAACAGAGAAGAAGCCAGTCTCTGCTCCAAATGTAAGATGTCTCTGCTTGTAATGAGTAGATATGGGGTGAGAAATCAAGTAAGGGTACTAACATAAGCTAAGTGTCAGAAGGCAATTTCCCCAGTAGAAACGAACACAAATAGTGTAATTTTCCCAGTAGGGCTGCTTGGACCAGTCCACTTGCAGGAAGAATAAAGCTTCCCCTTGGGAGAGCAGGTATAAACCAGTGAACCCTGCCAGGTCTTTTGTGAGTGATTGAACAAGGTTTGAGCTTTTGCAAGAACTTAACCAAGTGATTGCAAAATACTTGACCTATTTAGGAAAGACCTAAATGAGTAGCCAAGAGACTCATTGAGTGATATTTTAGCCCACTGCTGTCTCTCAGCTTCAGGTTGTTGTGAGGGAAAGGCAAACTACATTTTCTTGAGTTCCATTCTACAAATGGAATAAACACTAATAATAATAATAATAATAATAGTAATAATAGTAATAATAATTTATTATTTATACCCCGCCCATCTGGCTGGGTTTCCCCAGCCACTTTGGGCTGCTCCCAACAGAATATTAAAATACAGTAATCTATTAAACATTAAAAGTTTCCCTAAACATGCTGTTCTTTATTGAGGCTTCCTAAACCAGTGGCTCTCAAACCACAAGTGTGGCTATAAAGCACACGTGGGATTTGCGTTTGTGTGGCGCCCCCCCCTTCCCGCTGCCTCCATCAATGACATCTGTGTGCAAACCTTTCCTTATAAGCTAATGGGTGGTGGTCTTCCCAAACATGTCAAATATGCTAGGATCAGGGAGCTGAAAAATGGCCAGTCTCTACCAGTGTTTTCCAGCCTTAGGTCTCCAGCTGTTTTGGGACTACAACTCCCATCATTCCTAGCTAGTCAGGGATGATGGGAATTGTAGTCCGAAAACAGCTGGGGATCCCAAGGTTGGGAAATACCAATCTAGCCTATTATTGGACTAACTAAACCATGGACCAAACTATTCTCAAGTGTAAATAGCAACGAAGTCTTTGTCAGGCTTATGCCCTTCAGCAATTTACGAGCCAAGACAGAAGTAATAGAAGTGAGCAGATGAAGTATTGTGCGATGGGGTGTACCCAAGTATATTGTTGGCTTTCACAGTTGGGGAAGAAGGGCCATTTGTGCACAGGCTCACTTGGGAGTATGTCAGTTGGTGCAGTCAGACATTGGTCCTTCTGCGCTTGTTCAATGCAAAATGAGGATCCTGTTTAAAATTTTCAACAAAGCAAGAGAAAGGCTGTAGTTTAGCAGAATAGCACCTAGATACTAGGTTCAGTCTGTGGCATCTCCACCTAGGGTTGGGAGAGAACCAGTCTGTAAATCCTAATAATAATAATAATAATAATAATAATAATAATAATAATAATAATAATAATTTTTATTTATACCCCACCCTCCCCAGCCAAGGCCGGGCTCAGGGCGGCTAACAAGCAATAATAAAAACAAGTTGAATGAATACAACTTAAAAGCAAGGTTAAAATACAACATTAAAATATTGAAACATTAAAATATTAAAATGCAGCCTCATCACAGGAGGAGAAAGGAAAAAGAAAAGAGGGGGAGGGAATCAAATTGGCTCCAAGCCAAAGGCCAGGCAGAACAACTCTGTTTTACAGGCCCTGCGGAAAGAAATCAGATCCTGCAGGGCCCTGGTTTCATGAGGCAGAGCGTTCCACCAGGCCGGAGCCAGTGTTGAAAAGGCCCTGGCTTTGGTTGAGGCTAATCTAAGTTCCTTAGGGCCCGGGACCTCTAGGGTGTTGCTATTTATGGACCTTGAAGCTCTCCGTGGGGCATATCGGGAGAGGCGGTCCCATAGGCACGAGGGTCCTAGACCGTGAAGGGCTTTAAAGGTCAAAACCAGCACCTTAAATCTGACCCTGTACTCCACCGGGAGCCAGTGCAGCTGGAAAAGCACTGGGTGAATATGCTCCCATGGCAGAGACCCCGTGAGGAACCTCGCTGCAGCATTCTGCACTGGCTGGGACACCATTTCTGGGACAGCTTCAAGGGCTGCCCCGCGTAGAGCGAATTACAGTAGTCAAGCCCGGAGGTGACTGTCGCATGGATCACTGTGGCCAGGTCGGGGCGGGAAGACAGAGACCGAGAGAGAGACAGCCGATCACTGAGCTAGAAAGACCAATAGTCTGTCTTGGCGTAAGGCATTTTCTTACAACTCAGATGTCAATAGAATATTAAACTGTTACAGGCCTTGATGCTGGCAGCCAGATGAACAGGAACTATTTCTCACTATCGGTATATCAAGGTGGATGAAAGCTCACAGAAAGTGGATTTCGAACTGGCTTCTTTAATCTCATAACATTCAAAACCCTAAAATGTATTTTGCACAATTGACTTTTTATTTCTATTCTTTGCATATCGTATTGTTGTTTTATTGCTATGGCCAATGGCTGAGGCAAATAAAGATTCATTCATTCATGACATTAAGAGGAGTGACAAGTCTCAGTCATCCATTGCTGCTTTTGCCATTTTCTCTGGTAGCCTCTGCCTGGGTTATTCAATTTGCCACTCCCCTCACTCTTTGATCTAAGCAAGGGGAAACGCTGGACAAAGGCCACCTGGCTACAGGTTTGTCAGAGGAGGCCTGTTGCTCCACGTCTCAGATGTGCTTTCTATCAGCACTAATTATTCTGAGCCGAATAGTCTTCATGCTTGTTTATGTTAATTAGAAACCTTTTAATGATGGTGTAATTGCCATAACCTTGCTTAGACATGTAAATTCACAGAAAAATCAAAGTTTTGTGGGCTGGAAAGGAAATGGGTAACCTGAGCTCTATAAACTATTTGCGGAAAGAATGTCAACGAAAGCATAATACAATTTAAAAGCAACTAGTTTAAAACCTTATTAGCTGGGATTTTTTTCCTGCATTAGTTCAGTATGTTTCAAGAATACAACATATACTGAGAGGGAAGAACATAAAAAATGCCCCTTTTTTAAAAAAGGAAAAAGGGTAAAGGGAACTCATCTCTCAAATCAGCAGATATCCACTGTGCAAGTTGGATGTAGTTGATTAAGATGATTAGCAGCTTGCTCCTCATTTGTTCACAGTAAGCTTGCATATTACTCCCTGAAGGCAGGGGGCAGATAACACAACCAAGCACTGAAGCAGTACACTGACAATGAACTACCAGTTTTCACTTTACTGGGTCTGCCTGTAATTCTGTCACTCATTAGGAACCAGCTCCTGAACACCATGTAGGCACAGCATCCTTACGACAAGAAGAATCTAATTAATTCTGCCCAACAGGTAAGAGATGAAAGGCCGGATGATTAAGACATGGAATTCAATGTACGTATTTTGAAAATTCTGCATTTAGAATCCATAACCATGAGTCACATAGCCTGCAGTGAGGGGAAAATGTGAGCAACTCATGATTATTTCCTTGGGACAGAGGTCTTAAAAGAGGCTTAAATCGTCAAAAAAAGGCTCCTGAAAGTCTTAAAATAGAATGTTAAAAAACAAACAAACCCAACCACCACATTACATGTTTGGAGGGAGTTTAATTCTGCCCCACCCAGCCGGCCTATAGTTTTCAATTCAGTAACTCATTAGAACCAGCAGGAAAAAAATTGCGGCCGAAAACAACGCACCATTGTACCACTTGCTTTTCCACACATTGCCCAGTACCTGTCCTGTATCTGCCACTGAAATTATACCTGACAAGAAACCTGGCTTCCTAATGAATATATGTATATGATATACATGTCTGCAAGCACGAGATTGCCCTTAGTCATTTCTCACAAGTACATTCTTAAAATAACTTCGCCACAATCCACCAGGAAGCTTGGGTCCGCTTAACCTCATTGAAATGTCTTCCTCAGCTAAGCAAATTCAGAAGCGCACTGCTAATCCTTAGCATACAACACAAGAAATGAAAAGATAGTCAAACCTGTGACTAGTTCTCTGATTTCCAAATCTGTAGTCTTGCGCAGTAATCGTACTAGTGCTGGAATACCCCCACAGTTTTTCAAAGCAATTTTGTTGTCGTCGTTGGCTTTCCCATACACCAAATTCCTCAGCGCTCCACAGGCACTACGGTGGACTTCTGTCATTCGATGGTCCAATAGGTCCACCAGTAACTGTATTCCTCCTTGTCTTCTTATCTGCAACATTAATGTTCAAATTAAATTCAAAATCAGTGGCTGACAGTCAATGAGAGTTTTAAGACAGCAATAGATTTTGTGGATCGAGGGCCCGACCCCCGCTATGTGAAATAAACACACAAGGACACGTGATATAAGGTTAATGGGCAAGAAAAGGCCACAACTGCAGGACGACGACGACTGAGGAGGAGGCGGAGCTGCAGCCGCAGCATTAAGCTGCTAAACACGCCTCCTGGAGACACCTGGTTGGCTGCCTCCGGTGGGCGTGGGCGCCAGCCAGGTGAGGAGGGGCGGGGGCTAAGGCCCCCGGCCAGGGGCGGAGCTCGGGCTCCCACCCACAACCACTCCCCTCTCTTCCAGGGAGGAGAGTCTTTAGCAGTTAGAAAGGAGAGAGCACATGTGCGCAGTAGCCCGCTTTATTTGCTTTCAAAGGAACTATGGGAAATAAAAGCTCTTGACATGGGAAGAATAAAATTCCAATCAAATGATCTTTCGTTAGGATGGCTGAGAGTAGCGTATCCCAACATGCCACATGCCTCTTTCATTTGACAAATGTTTTTGTGTCACTGGGAAGGCGGTAAGTCTGTATTGATTTGCTATGGATGTTTGTATGTGATGCCAATAAAAGGTCTGATGATGATGATGAAATTCCAATCAAAGCGGCTGGACAGATGATGGAAGAGAAATTTCTCCCACCACCACTTCGAGGGAACAAAATAAGCCACCTTCAGGGACAGGAGGCACCACCTGCACTTACGAATTGATTTCATGGTGTATGGTGACAGCTGTCATCAGAATTATTGCCCAGAACAATGACTGGAACACCAGTTTCTAACTGCTCACACTAATTATGTATCAACACTGTATAATTCAGCTATAGCACTTTCTAGATTGCCCGGAGAAAGGTATCAATAAATACTCGGTATCTGCAGGAGTTACAAGGAAATTGGCGAGTTGACAATCTACAAGACATGCTATCATTCCCACTTGCTATGGAACTAGGCAGAAAAATGTGGTCTTTTAAAACATGTGTATATCTGGAAACTGATGCGGACATCATTATCAATGTGAGAAAACTTTCAAGAAGACAGCAGACTCTCCACTGCCAGACAAACAACACCAATTGTACTACGGTGCAGACTTCAGGGGAGAGAGATGGGTACCACTCCATGGGTACAAGTCCAGGCAGCTTTTCCTCCTCTGGCTGGGTGGGTACTGTTTTGTTGTGAGCGAATGGCTTAAAACGAATTAACAACATTTTAAAAAATACTATAAGCCACTTTGATGACTTAAGTGGGAAAGCAGGATACGAATCCACTAAATGAAACAAGCCCACTATTGAGAAGAAGAGACAAAACACTCTATACTGCTGCACTTAAAGGCAGTGTTAGAATCATAGAATCATAGAGTTGGAATAGACCACAAGGGCCATCGAGTCCAACCCCCTGCCAAGCAGGAAACACCATCAGAGCACTCCTGACATATGGTTGTCAAGCCTCTGCTTAAAGACCTCCAAAGACGGAGACTCCACCACACTCCTTGGCAGCAAATTCCACTGTCGAACAGCTCTTACTGTCAGGAAGTTCTTCCTAATGTTTAGGTGGAATCTTCTTTCTTGTAGTTTGGATCCATTGCTCCATGTCCACTTCTCTGGAGCAGCAGAAAACAACCTTTCTCCCTCCTCTATGTGACATCCTTTTATATATTTGAACATGGCTATCATATCACCCCTTAACCTCCTCTTCTCCTCTTCTTGTTAAAAGGGCAAACTTCTACAGAGGACACGTTGGTTGCTGTCAGGTTCCTATCACAGAAGGAAAGGCAGCCAAAGTCCCCAAAGAGGAGCAAAGCTGAGGTAAAGAAAGCAAGTAAGAGAGAACAGGAGAGAACAAACGAAACAAATACAGGCCATTAAGCAGGAAATGCAGAGAGTATCTTCCGTGCTAGTGCTTTGAACTAGAGGTAGCAGCCCCAGTCAAGGTTTCAGGGTTCACGAGCAAGGCAAGAGATACCTAACCAAGTGGAAGCTGCTACAAAGATGCCCCCCAAAGTTGACTCGCCAGTCATCAAGCTTTTAAAGTTGAGGCAGGGAGGGCTCACTCATGACACTCTGTCACCCTACAAGTTTGCTGCATGTGAAAACCTAAGAAGAAGAAGAGGAGGAGGAGGAGCTTCGATTTGATATCCCTCTTTATCACTACCCGAAGGAGTCTCAAAGTGGCTAACATTCTCCTTCCCTTCCTCCCCCACAAGAAACACTCTGTGAGGTGAGTGGGGCTGAGAGACTTCAAAGAAGTGTGACTGGCCCAAGGTCACCCAGCAGCTGCATGTGGAGGAGCGGAGACGCGAACCCGGTTCACCAGATTACAAGTCTACCGCTCTTAACCACTACACCACGCTGGGCTCCTTTTTGGTGTGTGCATCTGATCCCACCTCTGAAGGCAATGCTGAGCATGCAGAAACAAGACTATGTCCTGCCCCCCAACTTCTCTTGTGCAACTTCTCCTTCCTCTGGTTGGTCAAAGCCCCCTGCCCAGCTAATGGGTCTCTGTGCTCCGCAGGAGAGGGCTTCCACCTCTCTTAATTTCTAGTTCCAAGTGAAGGACCTGCATCCTCGATCCCCAAGTGCCTGCCTTCTATCTGCCCCACCATCTTCTCCATCTTCCTTCCTACTCCATCTGTCTGGGGCTGCTATCTCATACCTGAACCTGATGGAACCAAGGGGTCCATGACAGTTGTTTACATTCACCCTGTGTTAAAGAAGAAGTTGCAAACATTATGGAAACATGTAGAGGAGATAGTTATTTTCTTCAAGTCTCCCTATCAATCTGTAAATTGGAGAGGGACAGGAAGGGAGAAGCTATTTGAAATAACTAGGGGAGCAAAGCTTAGGTGCAGAGAGGTTTAATCTGGAACTCCACCCTCCACCCCCACTGTAGCAGATTTAATACTCCACTGATGTTAATTAGCACTGTGCATCATGGATATGCTTCACTAAGTACTAAAGTCAATTAATAATTAAGATTAACAGCGTAGTGTTCTTATGTAGGCGTTTGTGATAATGTCATAATATTATTATTATTTTTTCACACAGCTGTCCAAAGCTGAAGCTTGAAGCACAACTAACAAGCTCAAAGTAGGGACCAAGTTATGTAAAACCAAAACAAACAAACAAACAAACAAACAAACAACACCTGGGTGCTAATCTGACCAGAATGCAAATAGTAGATCCTTCCTTCACAGCTGCAACCCTACACTTTCTCCCTCTTGTTGGGCTGTAGCTCTTTAGACTGCAATTGGTGGATCACATTTTGAATACTCTCCCAGATTAAACATTCCCATCATACATAAAATGAGCACACCAGGGAAATGGGTTTAGGGTATTGTTTCCCCTAACCTGCTAGAACTGCTTTTGTGACTAGTGTACAGGTGACTGAATCTTAGGTAAAGGTAAAGGTACCCCTGCCCGTACGGGCCAGTCTTGACAGACTCTAGGGTTGTGCGCCCATCTCACTCAAGAGGCCGGGGGCCAGCGCTGTCCGCAGACACTTCCGGGTCATGTGGCCAGTGTGACATCGCTGCTCTGGCAAGCCAGAGCCGCACACGGAAATGCCGTTTACCGTCCCGCCAGTAAGCAGTCCCTATTTTTCTACTTGCACCCGGAGGTGCTTTCGAACTGCTAGGTTGGCAGGCGCTGGGACCGAGCAACAGGAGCGCACCCCGCCGCGGGGATTCGAACCGCCGACCTTTCGATCGGCAAGCCCTAGGCGCTGAGGCTTTTACCCACAGCGCCACCCGCGTCCCCATGAATCTTACTTATTGCCAAATAAATGAGAAGTATTTGGGGCTCATCCACACTTCCGTTTCTCCTGTGATTTCCAGGCACAGGCCTGAGAGGTTTTTTCTTTTGTGCCACCGCTTCCCCCAGAAAAACCCGCTGCTTGCCACTGAATTGGATCAAATGTCAACTAGGTTTTCTACAGATTGCCTAGAAATCTTGGGACAAACGGAAGAAAACACAGGGCAAACGGAAACGTGGAAGAGCCCTCAGACAGCAATAATTAAATGTCCTACACCAAACCTGCAATTCAACAGAGGGGAGTTTAGCCTCCAAGCACAATGAAGCATTTGGAACACAGGGTGGAACAGATTTTTTTTTTGCCTTAGGAACTTAGATTGAACAGCTTCTGCAGATCCAAGGTGAGTGGCTGTCCAAATCTGAACCCCATATAATAACTGTGCTAGCTTTAAACACTTCAAGTGCTGATGGCATGTGATTGCCATCCTTTGTATGGAAAAAAGCGTGTCAGAATTTTGGCGCTGGCTTTCGGACGCTTTTTCCTTTGCATATTTCTGATGCATGACCCTCTTGACTGAAAAATAAGGCCGAGATATTTAAAGACTTTAACTTGTTCCATCAACGGATTAGACTGCAATTCAAACTCCCCATTTGGGGCAGATGGGGTGGACTGCATGGAGGTCTTTTCCTGCTGGGCTCCCCATTGCTGATGGCAGAAGGTCCACTGGTGGCAGGTATCCTTGCCCCCAAATGAGGCATCCCAAGGGAGGAAGGGAGCTGATCTGGCCTGGGATCCACAAGACCTTGAGTTGCTTTCATAGCCAGTCACACCTGACCTGGGTGATTGGCCCTGATCTACCTGCTCCATCTTCTGCCACCAGGAATGGCCCGGCTCTGGAAGTAGCTCTGCAGAGCTGTGGCTTTGGATTTCAGTCTGAATTATTTTCCTTCTCATCAAGGCACAATTATCTATTGTGTCACTGCTTGCTGTACTGCTGCACTGAGCAGAAACCGGGAAAGGACATAACTGCTGATTGCCCACCATCACTAAGGATTGAAGAGGTGAAGGAGGCCCAGACCCCATGGAGATAGGCAGCAGACAAGTCCCACTTGTCTCGGCTGGTACTGCAGTATGAATAGTTAATATGCACACTGTAACTTAGAGTAATAGTTATGCTATTATGCATCAAGTAGATCCGGA